TCATTCTGTTACACTGTGGAGCTTCTGTCATTAAAACAAATTCCTTGTATGTGTAAACATACCTGGCAATAAAATAAAACTCACTCACTCATTCACTCATTCTCTAATGAGAGTTAGTAGACATTTAGGTGCAACATTGCTTATAGTCAACAGATTGTGTTAAAGGAACCATCAAAATAAAGTGAACGCCAAGCTTTATTCATTTTTGTGTCAACATCCAAAGGTGTATAAAGCATGAAGAGTTTCAGTGAGTTCTCACCCTGGACTTCCGTGAGCCAGTCGGGTTGGTTATAATGTTCGGATGATATTGTGAGTGTATTGAGGAACACCAGCAGAATCACCAGCCAATAGAAGAGGGTGGATTTCACCACAGCTCGGCACTTCCGGTGACAAAACCTGTTCCAGCAACGCCAGCGGCTGCAGAGATAGGATGTGATTGCACAGCACTGCGAGCGCTACACACTGAACATGTGTATTTGCACAGTTAATTTATGTGAACACATGTTGTATGCTGTTTAGAGTGTCCATGCATGCAATACGGTCAAAAGACTGTTCAAGATTTAATGTAATGAAATGCAAAGCCAAGCCCTTCGAATGCATTCATATCAAACACAACATACGCAGCAAGCATCAAAGCACCTTGACAGATTCACTGACACACCGCAGCACATCAACATAAAGAGCTTTAAATGTTCAAAACAACGTGGGCACACACACACCGACATGCAGAATGATGAGCAAACACACACAACTGGAACTGAATTCAGCTTCAAACACACACTGAACTACTGACCTGAACTTCGACTTTGTCAATTTCTGACTGAAAAAGTGAAAAATATGGCATCACTTCATGCCACGCTATAAGCTGATGGAAAAACTTCCAGCATGTGACAACTAGTTAACATTTCATTAGAGATTCAAGAGCTGGGAGTTTCTTTGGAGGTTATCGCAGGCACAAAAGGGTGTGAAGAACTTCTCATATAGCTGTATATAAGGTATAAAAATGGAGTGCTTACCAGATGGGCCCACAGCAGACTTTCTCATCTTCTCCTGGCTTCTCTGTGTTCACAGACTCTGTCTCACTTGTGGGGATACTTGCTGCAGAGACACAAAAAACACATCACTGTGCACAAGAGAGCCTAGCCTGCACTACTGTAATGCAAAGGGAGTGCTTTTTTGCTAACACAAACTGTAATAAAACATATTAATTTATTTA